CCACAAGTTATTTTTAGTTTCACTCAACGTATACAAGAACTTGGGGGTGATGTTGAGCTTGTGACATGGAATGGCTCTCCTCACATAGGTTTGTCTTAATTCTCAAGCCCACATGTTGGTTATTAAAATCATGTGGTATAGTTTACGAAATTTGACCATTGTTATTGGTGTTTACTACATTTAAAGTAACAATTATGTTGGATATTAGGCATTGTTGCTTTTATTATTTGCCAGTGTGGACATTTAATGTGACACAATTTGCAAAGTGCCTAAAGTTGAATGCAAATGTGTAAGCAAGCTAATATGCCAAATTGTGGGTGCCTTGGACATTTGACATTTTCTCAGTTAACTCCACATTTGATTAAAAGGTTTTAACAGATGAAGTCAGAATTTGTCATTTCTAGTCCATTCATTTGATTAATTTGATATTTTTGTTATTTGGTCAGTGAGTTAAAATCAATCTTCCTGGCAGACTCCATTAGATCATGGTCAAGAATATATGTTATCTTCTAGATTACAGGATGTGCTATAAGCACTTCTCATTTCTAATAATGCGTGCTTTTGTCATTTTTGATAGTTTTGTTTGTGTCATGATTATGCACTAAAATTGAAGTGATGCAATTCTTTTTGCTTCAGGTCATTACAAGCATTACCCTATCCAATACAGGGCTGCGGTAACCAGTTTGCTTGAGAAGGCTTTGTCAGTTTATTCCCAAAGAGTCCGACAACTTGGGGAAAGAGCTGGCATAGAGGGTATGCATGATGAGATGTCTGAGTTAATTTGTGACCTTCAGAAAGTAGCAGTTAACTCAAACCAAAGCCTAAGAAGAGTTGCAGTTGGGCCAAGTGACCACTTCTTCTTGCCAAGTTCAGCAGAGCATCACAATGGTCAAGACTCTCGGTCTTTACAGGATGAACGTAATGAAAGATCAGTCTACATGCCTTCTCCCCCAAGAATCAATGCACACAGTGTTCTTGGCCAGGTCCTTTTTGATGTTTGTGTTCCCAAGAATGTTGAAGGTTGGGATATTAGATTTTCCAGCTCTGCAAACCGGCTGCCATTTGCCTCTTCTCGTAGAAATTTACCTTTCCGTGGTATCAAAAGCAACCGTCGCTCAAAATTATAATATCTTAAAGATTATACTGGAGGAACTCTGCAGTTGGTTTTGTTTGGCTTGTTCAGAAGCTCCTAGAGATTATTAACATAAAGTTAATAAAATCTCTACAAGATATCATTGAGGTGCGGCAGTAATTCGATGAGGCCTTCCAGACATTTTGGAAGACAACTTGGTCAGTCATCAGTTACTCTTCTTTAGGTTGTGGACTAAATCCTAAAGCGTAAAGTGTACATATATAATAGTATATCGAGGATGATCATCGCGTTAATAGAATGAAGTACATGTTTTAAGATTGATCTGTATCTGTATGTCTGCTGAGCTACAGGATGCCGGTTAATAAATCTTGTAGATATACAATATATCACCCCAGAAGCAGCGCCGTGATCACCAAACTTGTGCAATATATGGTGTGCCAATGGTCTTGGAAGTTGAGGAGCAGATGTAAATTGTAAAATAGTTGTCTGTACAAAGATCTTTTTTGTATGACCGCAGAGCTAATTAGTAACCTGTATATGGATGTTAATGTATGAGCAAGAGGCTGGAGTTCGAAATTACTTAGGCTTGAGCTTATGACTACCCTTTTTCCTTCTGTTATTTTATTCGGGAATGTTGTGAAATTTCATATTCGGAATAAAAATACTGTAATTTTACTGTACCTGAGCCTTCTGGCCTGTTTCATCGAGGATTTGAAGAGTTGTTATTATCTTATCCACTTCAAGGGTTGAAGATAACCCTTTCGAAAAGTCTTTAAGAAACAAATTTCTCAAAATCTTGGGAGTGTGAAAAAACAAGTTTTTGATAACGCTCTCAATTAATATATTGTATGAAGCGTGTTCATGTCTGTTTTAGCAGGTCCACCATTTGGACCATATTATTAATTGTATTGGTTGTAGATTCATAGTTTCAAACTACAAAACAATTGATCATTGACCACAGGTTTGGCATCTTTTCTCATTAGCTGTGACACAACCTTTGGGATTAGCAAATAGCAACCCTTAATTCTGTGACGTCAATGGCCAAGAAAAATTGTATATGGGAATTCACAAATGTCTGTTTCTTTTTATTGAGAAAAAAAAAAAAAAAAACATTTTTTTTGGATCACCAAGGGTGCTCCAGCTAGCTTGCTTATATCTCGACTAATTTTTCAGGACCCTAAAACTGTCGGTCAGATAAAAGCTTCAATGACCACCCCTATTAATGTCTCGGGAGACTTAGGCATGGCAATGAAGCGGGACGGGGCGGGGATCTCATTCACTCCCCACGCTCGCCCCGTCCCCGTTGCGAGGTTGACAAGAATTCTCCATCCCTACCCCATGGAGAACGTTGGAGGCATGTCCGCACCTCATTAATTTTACCTTTAGTTAAAGTTTGGCCAAATCAGAGATATCAAATTGGTGTTAGCGAATGGCAATATAAAGTCGACTAAAGGCGAACAGCAATGGCGACAAGTTTAAGACTTAAGGGTTAGGATTTGTTCTTGTTCAATTGTTTAGGTTGAGATAAATTTGGAAAATATGGAGTTTGAGTAATGATACCTTTACACCACCCTTTACACCATTTTTATTACATCATGATATGGCATATGCCACATCCACATAATTTTTTAGTTATTTTTAATTTTTAATATTATAATAAAATTATTATTAGTAAAATGGTCATAGTGTAATGAAAATGGTGTAAAGGGTGGTGTAAAGGTAGCATTACTCATTGAGTTTATATAAGTAGGATAATTATGTAATTAGGTAAAATATATAAGGGTATTAGTAAAAAGTATCTATATATATATATATATATTAACGGGGCGGGGCGGGGCGGTGGAAGGGAAACCTCTACCCCTACCCCATCCCTGAGGATGGGGATTGAAATTCCTCCCGTCCCGGCCCCTATCCCAGAAAAAATTGGGGAATCCCCGCCCCATAAGAGACGGGTCGGGATGGAGTCCCAGAATTTCGGCGCCTATTGCCATGTCTAGGGAGACTCGAACTCAGGAGCTCATAGAATCTCTTTTTACTCTTTTAACATTAGGTCATCCAATGGTGGTTAAAAAAAAATACATTTCAGTCAACTCTTGTTTAATCCTGATGATATATGCCTTGAAGAACGAAGAAAGGAATATAACAGTTGGTGCATCTTTCTCTTTTGTTTCTGCTAACTAATTGTTTGGTTTCAGAAATTATTTGAAGGGTCACAGGTTAGTTTATAGTCTGGAGCCAAAGTATATATGAAACCAACTTGAACATATTTATTTTTTCCTTAAGTATTCCATTTTCTGATGATGAAAAATGAAAATCAAGAGTGCATGGTTTTATGTTTATTTCATTATACTAGTTGTTTGAATGTCATGCATGGATGGATTAATTAGACTGCGGAACAATGAAAATTTCTTTCANAAAAAAAAAAAATACATTTCAGTCAACTCTTGTTTAATCCTGATGATATATGCCTTGAAGAACGAAGAAAGGAATATTAACAGTTGGTGCATCTTTCTCTTTTGTTTCTGCTAACTAATTGTTTGGTTTCAGAAATTATTTGAAGGGTCACAGGTTAGTTTATAGTCTGGAGCCAAAGTATATATGAAACCAACTCGAACATATTTATTTTTTCCTTAAGTATTCCATTTTCTGATGATGAAAAATGAAAATCAAGAGTGCATGGTTTTATGTTTATTTCATTATACTAGTTGTTTGAATGTCATGCATGGATGGATTAATTAGACTGCGGAACAATGAAAATTTCTTTCATTCTTCTGTGCAGAAATCTTGTACTGAAAACCATTGAAATGTGTTTTACTAGTTGCTAGTTTCAGCATATTGAAGCTGGAGTTTTCTTCTGAAAATGGCTAATTTTTGTTGTATTACTAGCTTTAAAAGGTTGCTGGTATATTATACTATATATCATGGAAGAAGCTGGATTCCCATGTTCAAAAATAAATTACTCCGACATGAAGTTGAAAGTTTAAGTTTTAATTCCATTTGCTCATCCAGGCGTCAGGGATTCCAAATTTTTGCTTCTTTCTTTGCATGGTCTTTAATTATGTGTTCTGACAGAAATTTATTGAATGACAGTAAGCAGACTTGGAATGCTAAAGCTGAAAAGACTAATTAAATACAGGTGGAATCATCCAGGTGAGGTACAGAAACTAGTGCAGAACATTTCAAATGTTGAAGGAGGAAGAAAATGCTGGTGTTTGAACAAACCTGTAAGTCCACACAGAATAAGAAACCTTCAAATATTGATCATCACTTTGATAACCCTTCAACCCCATTTCAGGAATTCCATAAGCTTCTGATTGACTATGAATATCATAGATTATCTGCAATTAATGATAGTTTATTAGACCCAAAAGCCGAAAGATAAAACCCTGATTAGACACACAGGTTTTTCATTTTTGCATATTCCTCAATGTCCACTGGAATCGATTCTCATCAGCTTAACTCCACTCCAAATTTTCACTTCTTGATCATCAAATTCTCACCCTGAAACATATTACAAAAGTCTTTTGCCATACAAAATTTACAGAAAGCTTCTCCCTCAACTCTTCTTCACAAACTGTGGTAGGTGGCCTAAAAGGCTCAAACTTGAAATGGGTTAAGCTATTAAAGTTACTACCTTCTCTCCAAACCCAAATCTTTCTTTGATGAGAATCAAATCTTCTCTAAACAATTTACCATCTTAGACTAATTAGACCTAAATTTCAGGATTTTCACTTTAATTTATTTTAAAAAAAAAATAGTCACAAAGTTTAAAGTAATTTTAGCTCCCTATACATTTTATTGCTTTGGGTAAAAAGTTTCCAACTGTATGTAATTAATTGAACAGTAAAATTTAAGCAAGAAAATTCGGATCATGGTTGGGAGACACTAAATCTAGTAACATTAAAAACGTAAATTAACCTGTCCGAAACACCCCACCTTTACCTCGTTTTGTCGACGTCGGTGTAGTAATTATTTGGGGAAAAAAAAGGAAACGGAGCACCAGGAAAACAACAGGAAACCCAACTCAAGCTGATTTCATTTCAGACTTTTCAGTTTCAGTTTCAGAAGAGGAGGCTGGAAATGGATGACCCAGAAGCCACACCCCCTCACTTTTCTCTCTCTAAACAAGGCGCCTCGGATTCTATTTCTTATCCCACGGTTCTCTCTCTTTCTTTCTGTTTTTTTTTTTCCTGGTCGTGCATGTTTTGATTCTGTGTTTTGGCTTGAATTTGTTCGTTTGTTTCTTTTTCAGATTAATAAGCAGAGGAAGTCTTCTGAGAGCAAGCTGAAACTGACCCAGATTGGTGATATGTCTCCGGATCCAGACTTCAGGACTGAACTAGTAAGAACGAGTTTCTTTTTTGCAACCCTTGTTCAAAATTGTTTTTCAGGTTTAATTTAGGATTGTTTTTCGGTGATATTTATCAGCGATTATCAGGGGTTTTGTGCTGGATAATTTCTGGTTACGGGTAATAACAAGGTTTATCTTCAGGATTTTGTTCATTTTTGGTCCTGTGAAAGTTGAGTTGTTTCCGTACTTTTTCTTCTGGAATGTTTTAAGGGTTTATCAGTTTTGAGGCATTTTTTTGCTCGGAAAGTGAGATTATATGCAACCTGATGCTTAGTTTTGAGTGTGATAACCCTGGATAGGTTTAGGACCACTGTGCTCCTGTAGGGACTTACCATATCAGTACTGAGTTTCACTGGTGGAAATTAGGCTAGGTTTTTATGCTTCTAGTTAGGTTTCAGTTGGACTGTTCTCCATTTTGTGCTGCTGTTAATATGATGGGGCAGCCTCCAGGGTTTTGTCCTGCCAGGTGACTTTAGGATTGCGGTTTAATGTGCCTGGGAATTAGTCTAGTGCTTTAAGAGTCTGGAATGTCTCAAAGTTGAGAGAAGAAGAACATACAAACATAAACAAGGTGGTTATTTTCCTTTTGCTTATTCCTGAGAGCCATCTCCACGGATTTAACCGACTAATTTCCAGGTTTTTGTGCAATGACTATCATGTACTTGGCTACTACTGCTTTAAGAGTTCAAACGCCTAGATAGTGAGATAAAAGAGAATACATGCATGTAAACAGAGTTCCAAATTTTGTAATGCCTGCTTCCTACTCTAGGTAGCCCTTTCCTGTAGAGACCATTCCATGTAGTTCTAACGCCAGCTAGCTTTGGCCTTGCGTGTTGTTTATTTTTTATAACTGTATTCTGGTCAAGGTTACCCCTTTGAAACCTAAACCACAATTTTGAGCTTGTTCTGAACTCCTAATTCCATATATCATGTACTTAACTAGGACATTGACGTAAGGAATATCAATTGATGAAAAACATCAGCCCAAATCCAAAAACTTCCTGGAAACATAACGAACCTGTCAAAGCTTGAAATTGGTTTTTCTTATATATAGGTTTAGAAATTGTAACTGTCTCACTGTTAAACATAAGCCAGACATAAAGTTGCTGGTTTCTTTTATTTCTTTTGTCTTCTTAGTCTTCTTTCAGTCATCAAGAATGAACCAATTTTTTCTTGCTTTAGTTATACGTTATCTTTGAGTGTTCTTCAAGGATTTATTATTGACTTTGTAATAAATTCTATGTGATGTTGTTCTTGAACTGGCCAACTGGATTCAAGCTTGATATTCCTAATAGATTGTCTTTGAAACACTACATAACCTAGTGTCTAATTTACTTCTCCATCATAAATTTTCTTCTGGTTATTGAATGGTTTATATGGTATCATTGGGATTGTAAATTGAGATGACTAATTAATTGAAAATATCTTGTGAATTTTTTAACAGGTAGCATATGATGGTTCAAAGGAGTCTAGAAGGTCCGTGCTTTTATCTTTGATTCTTTTAGCCTTAATTTCTGTCTCTGAAAAGTTGAAATTCTGTTATTTCTTGTATTGATTCCTTGGTAATATACCTGAAGCAGTAGACGGAAGAGAGCTATGATTGATGATCTCTATGACCATACCAAAGTTCATTCCCCTGTAATAGAACGAGCAGAAGAGCTTCGAGCCAACCTAGAAGCTAGCTTGCCAAGCTTTTGGAAAGCTATGGTTAAGTCAAATGTTACTCATGGCTTTTGGCTGGTAAGGCTGATATTCTGTCCCAAATTTAAGAATACAATAATTTGGCCAGTACTGAACAGCTTTTTTTTTTTAACTTCTATGGTGACAGCATCTTCCTATGCGATTCTGCAAATTGCATATGCCAAAGAATGATACAGTATTTACATTGGAAAATGAAAATGGGGGTGAATATAAAGTAAACTATATTTCACAAAGGACAGCATTGAGCGGTGGTTGGAAGGCATTTTGTGATTCAAATGAATTAAATGAGGCTGATGTTCTAGTTTTTCATTTAATTGGACCTTTAAAGTTTAAGGTACCATTCAGATCTTTTTGCTATGTTTATATATCATAAAACTGTCTTATAAATCGTTGACATCATTAGTAATTGTTTTAGTTCCTCATTTGAGAAAAGAAAAATTCAGGAATGCAGTCAATGCCTTGTGGTGTTTTGGTATTGGTTGACCAAACAAATTCCATAAAGCATCTGAAATGTGCAATTCTTAGCATAGAGAATATTATAGAAGCACTCTAGTCCATGACTTATGACACGACTGAGTTTAGTGAGTAAGTTATACTGTTTTTCTGTGGATGATTGACTTGTGATATGAAGTCCTTGTACTTTTTCTACTTTCTCTATGCCTTGAATTGATATATTGTAGTTTTTCATTGAAATAGTTAATTTAGTTAACGTGTGGGAGTGAAACTATGAAACCTGTGTGTTTCTACCTGGAATGGTGAAACAAAAGTCCCAATTTATTTCCACATAATCAAGCATGGAACTGAGCATAATGATCTATTAATTTGACATTGAGTAGTGTGAAATCTCTTAATGATTTTTGTAAAGGTAGGGAAGTCTTTTCCTCTGCATGTGGTTTGTTGGGTCCTTTGGCTACTTTCAACTCAGTTAAGTTAGTGTGAAGTAGTTGCTAAATCTTTAATAGGTCTTAACTTATTTGTTGCATCTTTTTTCCCCATTTCTGTAGGTTTTTGTAGTGAGAGCAAATGGAATTGCGAATGTGAATGCTGAAGCAAAACCACTAAATTCTGGTGTGTTTCAATACTTCTGCTTTTAGCTCTGTTGCTATTTGTAGGTGACTAAGAAATTAATTTAATTTATTTACAGTTCCCTTGGATGTTGAGTTTGAAGCAACAATAAAAGATCAGACTGAGAAGGGAAAGAGATCCAAGAAAAGGGCTAAACGCTTAAAGTCTCCTCCAGGCTTTATACAAGACAATATTCAAAACAACGGTCTGATGGTATTAGAGACCACTAACGGGCATGTTACAGATCAGTTTGAGAATGGAAGTGCAGATCTTGGCCCTAACTCTTCAGAAGGGCTTCAGTCTTCAGAATCCACCTGTAATTTTAAAGAAGTGAGAAGCATTGACGATTTCACCATTCTTGTGAATGATTTGGCTATTGACTCCGAACTCTCTGATCACCATAGGACTAAATACTATGAGCTCTGCTGCTCTCAAAATTCCTTTTTGCATAACCATCTTCTGAAGAGCATTAACTGTAAATTGGCTGCTGAAATAATTACCCAGACTGTTAACATTGCAGAGGCCATTAGAGCTTGTAACCTTTCCACATCTCAAGCTGATTATGAGGTTTGGGACAAAACCTTAAAGGGCTTTGAGCTATTGGGCATGAATGTTGCATTTTTACGTGCTCGGTTGAACCGGTTGATGAGCCTCGCACTAGAATTAGAAGAGCCTATGGAATCAAAGAGGCTCAAAGAAGTAACTCTAGAGAAATCCCGTGCAGAAGAGGAGATAAGAGCTCTTGAATTGAAGCTTTTGACATTGAAGGAGACAACGGGAATACTTGATTATAAGGTAGAGTCTTTGAAGGCGAAAGCTGAGAAGCATGCTCTTAAATTTCAGGAGGAAGTTAATGCTCCATGGTGATTATATACATTCCATATTAAGAATTATTAGGTAATGAGAAATATCTCTCTTGATATACTGTTGCTGTTGTTGTTTGCTTGTTCATTTTTATTATTTGATAAGGGTGTAGGGAGGCAGCTAGGATTTCAGAGTCAGAGCTCATTAGTTTGTACTAACTTTGCAGATTAAAAGTTTCTGTGTAAATACTGCAATTTACATAGTTTATAAGAGTCAGCCATGAGAGAGCTCAAACAATAATGTAATTTTCTAAGCTGATAATGTTGTAGCAGTACTCTTTTGTTCCCCTTTCTCTAACCTTTGGATTGGCCTTTTAACTCTCTTCTTAACAACTTCATGAGCTGTGATTGCAGAAAATGGCTACTTTTACTCTGAAATATTTGATGAAATGCTATAAGACTTGAATCCACTGAGTTGACTTGGAATTCGGAGCATGATTCTGCATATTAATCGTACAAGCATAACATGATTTATGCACCACGTCTAGATAATCTTTATCACTCCATGCCAACCAGGGGTGTTTAAAACTGGTTAACTGATTTTGTGAACTGAACCAGTTTTTAACTAAAAAATCGATTAACTGGTTTTGAACTAGTTAATTTAATATTTAATATTTTTTTAATAAATTGGTTTCAGTTAACCGGTTCCTATATTCTCATAAACTGGTAACCGAACCGAAAAATCGGTTTTTGTATTTCTTTGAATCGAAATCGAACCGATTCGGTTCGGTTCGGTTTTTGCATTTTTTTTTAAGACCCCTAATGCCAATCCATTACTATTCAACCCTATCATTATTCATCTTAAGATTATACTATATACGGTAATATTACAATTTTCTCTCCTACTTTAATTTATTTTAACTTGGTTCTTCTAATATATATATATATATATATATGTGTGTGTGTGTGTGTGTAACCAATACAATACAGGGTAATACTATGCTCACAAACCATTCTCACTAACTTTTTCTCACAAATGCGACGAGACAGTTCACAATGAGTCTCGTCTCCCTAACAATAGATCCCGTCTGATCAATTGTTAATTGTCACGTTACATTTGTGAGAAAAAGTTAGTAAGAAAGGTTTGTCACCATATCTTTATTGATACAATATATAATGTGCTAACACATGCACATATAATCCAGATTTCCCCCAACCTTTTGAAGCCAAGTGTGTGAAATCAAGTTTGTAATTGGAAGTCCTGCAAAAACTTACAATCTTGAGGTGTCTATGAGACAATGAGAATCAACCCTGGGTCTTGAATAGCCCAAGTGATACGACCAGCGCTTGGATGTGTGGTTAAGATGCACAATCTCAAGTTTGAATCTCTATAGCTTTCAAAATTTAAGCAGGTGATCATGAATTAGTTACCTACAAGCTACAAAGATTAGTCGAGGTATACGCAAGTTAATCCGGACATCCTGTTTCGAGAAAATATTGTTTGTGAGTAACCCGGAAAAAAAAGTGTCTATGAGAAAGACTAGGGTTTCTGTATAAAAACTCATCATATCATATGTTAATTTAAATATTTTTACAGCATAAATTAATTTTTAAGAAGAAAAAAAAAAACAATGAAGTGCTCTAGAAATCTCAAGAAAGTCCCTTTATTTTAGGACTAATTGAAGTTGGTGCACTTTACGAATGAGAGCACTGTTGAATCTCTTTCATGAAATGGACAAGAGTCAATCAAGGCGCAATTACGAATTTCAAATGAAATGGTCTTTTCAACTTCTCTCTTTCTTTCTCTAAATTTAATAAAAATAAAAACTCCACTCCACTTATTTTTGAATTCACACCACAGTTGTTTTTGGCGCTGTTGGTCAGAAAGCCAAGCCATGGCTATTACCTCAAGAAAAGAGAGAGATAATACCTGTCTTCCCAAGGTCATCATTCTTTCTACTTTTCTTTTTATATCTAGTTATTTACATGTATTTCTCATCTGGGTTTGTTCATTTGCAGCCTGTTAAGAAAGATAGGTCACTGAAGGACAGGAAGATGGTGACTGGCAAGGAAGTGAGTTAGAAATGAGCATAGCTTTGCTCAGTGTCTTTGTTTCGTAGCTTATTTTACTGTTCTGTTTCATTTTTAGTTTTACTTGTTTGCCTTTCGAGTTTCATGATTTTTGTTTACTTTTTATGTGGTCGCTGGGTTGTTTGATAAGAACACTCTGAGAGTTTAAGGCCTATTGTGGTAAATATTCAACACCCAAATGAAATGTATAACAAAATTTGTTGTTTTCGTAAGTTGCTTTTTCTGCAGGTTTAACGAAAATGTTTCTTATATTGTTTGAGTTTACTGTTTTTCTGTTTCGGAACCAGAAAATGAGTCAACACGAAGAAGTGCTCGTTGTCAGGATGTCTCAGAGCTGTTTTCTCATAAATTCTTTAACAAGATAAAGTGGTAGAATCATAGAAGTTAGAGATTTTGAGCACTTGGGTTCTTTTAAGAACAAAAAAAACCCGCTGAAAATAACAAGTTCTGAAACATTCTTCGGCTTCGGTTTTGAGAATAAGGGGCACACATGGCTGCTTTCAGAAATCGAAGTGGATTTGAGAAAAGAAAACAGGTTCACTGAAGTTACCAAATAATGGTTTCCCATGATAATTTTCATGGTTTTATAGATGTTCAAAAACAGTTTCTACAAATACACATCCAAATGAGTTCTCTAATTCTCTCTTTCTTTTCTGGAAATGACAGCAAAAGAACTTGGATCATTTTATGTTATGTTGATCTTTAAGAGGATTCATTTGTTTCTGCATAGTTTTTTTTAAGATTAATTGAAGTGCCTTAAATTAGGCCAACAAATTAACATTCACTCTTCTCTACCTCCGCTTGCCAGTTGGACTTGTGTATTAATTCCTGAATTCATCTGTGGCCTTCTTGACTTTGGTTTTTTTAAAAATTACTGCATTGCATATCATCTTTACACTATAACTCTTTTAATCAGTTGCAAATCTAGAATTTTCCTTTTCTGAATGTTGGAGATAGGAATAATAAATTAATGGGAAATCTTATAATTTTTTGGACAGGTTATATGCATATATGCTGGGAACTCCAAATGGTAAACGACTATGTGTTATTTCTCCTTTAATATACAGGAAAAGTGAATTATGTCCTGACTCTTGTTATTGGCTTTAGTCAAAAGCGAAAGAGAGCCACACATGCTAGCTCGTACATTAATGAAGAAGTTAAGTCTTCTGTCATGGAGAAAGCAACGGATGTTCAATCTAATCTGGCGCCTCAATTCCCTAGCTTCATTAAGTGTATGCTCCGTTCACATGTTTCTGGGGGATTTTGGCTGGTAAACCTCTTTTGTCAATGCTTTTGCAATTTGAACAAGCAATCACTGACCTGACATTTGATCACGTTTCTGCTGATAGGGTCTCCCGAGGTATTTTTGTATTAATCATTTGCCAAAACAAGATACGATGATGGTTTTAGAAGATGAAAGTAGTAAAGAATATGAAACAAAATATCTTGCAGAAAAGGTAGGCCTAAGTGCAGGATGGAGAGGATTTGCCATTGCTCACAAATTAGTGGAGAGGGATGTCTTAGTTTTTCATTTAGTTGGTCCATCCAAATTTAAGGTAATTGTTTGAACCTTGCTGATATGTTTTTTGACCTTTCAAATTTTATGTACCTCTTAAGCATGATTCCCGTTTCTATTATTCTGGAACTAAGTTAAAATGGAAACATCAAATGATTTAGCAATCTATCGCATTTCTTCGAAAATAAAATTTTGCAAAACATTTAAATATTTACTGTACACAAGATTAGTAGAATAATTGACGTTATTAAGTGCAATATGTTATACAATATGAGAAGAAAAAGAAAGCAGAAGCATTGGTGACCTTGCCTAAAAAGAAAGAGAATGCTTGAATTACTTGAAAGTTTAATGTGACAGATTAATAAAAGTTTAATATTACTCTTGGAGTTTGTCAAAACTTGATAATTGAGGTTGAGGTAGTTGTATTCTTCGGTTTAAGTCTGGGAATGGCCTTATCTTAATTTGTCAAGTTTGCCAACTTCACTGCTGATAGACGACTGGGATTCTGGTATCTACTAATTTATCGCCAAAACAATGAAACCATAGAAGTATGCCACAATGGAAGTGTTTTACCAATTAATCAGGTCCCTACATTGACAAAGCTCTCCTGGAGCTTACTGGTGAAATAGGATTCCATTCTCCCTTGTGTACAACTCACAAATATCTTATTGCATGAAGCTATCACTTTTTTCTCTTTATATACATATTCAATGCTTGATTGTTACAATACCCTTTCTCAGGTTTACATTGTGAGATCCAGTGGTTCAGACGAAGTGGATGGTGCTCTTGGCCTTCTAGAATTAGAAACTTGCTATAGCCGAAGGGACTCTGGTATATTGGTTTGCAGTTCACTTTATTTCTTCCTCTGTATTATCGTATGGACACTAATGAGTTGCCTTTTCTAATTTATTTTGAAGTTACTTTCAAAAAGAAAGGGTATGCAGAGAAGGACATTAATTTATGTAAAGAAAAGGAGGATGATAACTATTGGGAGCCCCAGCCCCTTGCACAGGCAATTCCTCAAGTAAATTCTGAGAAGCATAACCAGATGACTGGTAGTTGTAAGCTTGAGCCTGTGTCAGATCAGTCAGAAGATTCTGAGGTTATGGATGGAATTAGATTATCAGAATCTGCTGTTGACTTTAAAGAAGTGAAAAGTGTTGAGGATTTCAACATTGTCGTGAATGGCTTAATTATAAATTCAACACTCTCCAAACATCTCCGGGCCAAATACTATGAGCTTTGTAGTAGTCAAAATTCATTTCTTCATGAAGGTCTTCTTGAAGGTCTTAATTGTAGGTTGGCTGCAGGAATGATTTCGGAGACCATCAACATTGCTGATGCTATTAGAGCTTCCAAGATTACCACCTCCGAAGGTAATTTTGTCATTTGGGACGAAACTTTGAAAGCCTTTAAGATGATGGGGATGAATGTCAGCTTCTTACAAACTCGGCTGGATCAGCTTATGAACCTTGCTTCAGAACCCAAAAGATCTAAACAAGCTAGACTTGAACGAGCTGATGCAGACGAAGAGAAAAGAATTCTGGAAATGAAGCTCTTGGAAGTAAGAGAAACAATAAAGAAACTTGATGCCAAGATTGAGACATTGGGGGTGAATACTGATAGCCTCCAGGTTAAGTTCCAAGAAGTGGCAACAGCCCCATGGTGATGAAAAACCTCTGCAACTTTGCTTGCAATTTTTGTCATGGAACTTGTGCTATGTTTGTTGTGGCTACGAAACACTAAGTTAGGGAAACAGTCAAATACTGTGTATATCAGTGTTGACATCTTTTTGTAAGTACTTGCTCCATGAAAAAGACAAAGTTAATGATATAGTAGTAGTTCTCTGTAAATGAGATTACTGACCTATACAAAGCTGTAATTCTTTTGTGCTCTCCCTTACTCTCTCTAAGCTTTTATCACATATAATTATGTTGATTGTGAAGTACCAAATGCCATTTTGAAAGCCACTTTAACCTGATCAGTTTACGTATACTTTAACTAGTCTTTCGGAGCCTTAAAATTAACGGTTAGATAAGTTTTTAGTGGCTATCATTTATTAGTAGTCATAGGGATTCAAACTCAAGACTTTTTAAGTAATACCTTCAAGAGTTTCAAGCAAACGGCAGAAACCTCTTGACCTCATGTTATCACAATTCATTTTCATCGGGTTAACCCATCTCAAAATGGTAAGTTGTATCTCGATCAATTAGATGGAAGAAGTTGATCCCGAACGTTAGAAAATAGATGGGTTTATGTACAAATTCTTCACCCATGTCGATTCTGATCTTTTGACTCTCATCCATCTCAGAGAAAGAATTATGATGACATTTTTACCCCTATTTATGGATTAACGATAGTATCACCCTTCGGATTTCTAAAACTAACAAGATCATCCTCAAAATTCCAATGAATAATACTATACCAACAATCTTCTGTCACAAATTTTTTCTTATAGTCCTGACTTGGCAGCTTGCAATTGGTCAGTTTGCAACGAATCTCACATGAGTCCCACTAATTAATTTTGAATTGTCACGTCAGAGTTGTGAAAGAAAATGTTGTTGGTGTAAGATTACTCAATTCCAATTTGTCCCCTGCTACACAAAATTAGAACTTCCTAAATTTTGTAACATGTGGATAAAAGGTAAATGGTTTGTGAAATTTTTTTTTTTTTTTTTAACCGAGGTATCCAAGGCCCACTACAGGTCCACTTACAAGCCGAACCCACCAAGTCGAACCTACCTAGTCCTTAGGGGGCCTATAGGAACCTACCACCACAGCCCACTACACATCACACGGGTGCGTTGATGGGGATTCGAACCCTGAATCTCTAACAAAAGCTGAAACCAATTGCGCCTCTTACCATCATATTACCCACCGATAGGTAAGTTTGTGCTAATTTTTCACAAACACTAAAATAAAAAACTAGCAATTCGATACTCACCTTTAATCTGTACGTTAAATATTTCAGGATATTCGTATATACTATATCACACATTGGACATATAATTGTTATTGTGTAGCCTCCAGAATTAACAATTTATAATTGCTGAAGCCTAATATAAATAAAACTGTGTATGGCAATTAACGTAAAATATAGTAAACAAAAAGCAAAAATGGGAATAAAAGTCAAGATTCTATAATCACATTTTCACCCTTACCATTCGTTAAAGTCTAAAAACATACTGTTATTTGAATTCAAACAGAACGGCTCTTTTTAGGTTGGCGCCCACTTACGGCTGACAGCACCACTCTCCTGCACAAAACCCAACACTAATAATTCATTCTTTTCCTCTTTTGCCTCTTCTTCTTGTTCTGGTTCTTCACCCAAACCCTAATAAGAAAATGGTGGAATCCAAGTTGACTTATGAAGAATGTCGTCGCCAAAGGCTAGAAGAGAACAAGAAAAAATTGGAAGAACTGAATCTCACCAAGCTCGCTCAGGCTCTTAAAACCCCCACTCCCAAAAAATCTCCTGTTAGTCCAGTCTACTTGTTTCTCTTTCTCTTTTCTTTCAGATTTTGCAGGCTTTTAATCTAATGGGTTGTTTTGCTATGTTATGTAAAGGCTAAGAGGCGGGTTCTTAAGTCCCCGAAGTCGTTGGAGCCAGTGAGAAGGTCAAGTCGTTGTGCTGACAAGCCGGCTCCAAACTACAAAGAAGTGAGCATTCTGTTTCATTTTATTTATTTTTCTTACACCCAGAACACCCTGACCAGTAAGTTTTGAAGACTTTACATAAGCATCGACTTTGAAATTCAAAACTTGTGGCTTTACATTATAACTTGTTAAAATTAATGTCCGAATTATCTCATAATCGTTGATAACTTGTGGGGATTTAATATGCAAAGTACATGGCTCCGCGGGATTTTGAACCCTTGGGGCTTTATTCTATTTTATGATGGGGTTTTTATGGGGAGAAATTGTTTCAAATGGAATGTGGAGGGCATGTTATAATAGTTAGATTTCAACCTTTGTATGATTTATGATTAATTATTTGTCACTGTTTGAACTCAAGTTTCAGTTGTAGACAACTTAGTATAAAACATTCATCTGATTAAAGTGGTTTTTCTTGGGTTTACTTAATTTATTAATTACTGGCAGGATCTTCTTGGACCTTTAATGACCATCGGAAGAAGGTAGATAATCGTGACTTGATAATTTTCCATTTTGAACATTTCTGGTGCTTGGAACAACTCTCACATTTTGATACTTTGATGAATCTAATGCTACTTATGAGGTTTACTATTGCAGGAGCTACCAACGGAGAGATATACTTAATCGCGTTTATGCTTCGCATGAAGAGAGAGTCTATGCTATTGAAAGAGCTGAAAAGATTCAATCAAACTTAGATTCTCAATTCCCAAGTTTTATCAAGCCTATGCTACAGTCACATGTGACTGGGGGCTTTTGGCTGGTAATGTAACAACCAAAATGCATACTTGATATAGCAACACCTTTCGGGTATTATGTCTTTTAGGATGTTTTAACTACTTGATGGTACTTCAGAATGTGCTGTTTCTTTTGCTTTTGGTCGTTAATATCGTCTGAAAGAATAGCCATAATCACAATCTCTATACAAGTTTGGCAATTTCTTGTCTTGCACTTAAAGATAAAAGTTAATAACATTTGTAGTTCGTGATAGCAGCAGAACTATTGTATCCGTCTTAAAAAATCTGTACTTGTTTGACAGGGTCTGCCCAACCACTTCTGCAAGAAACATCTCCCCCATTATGATGAAATGATCACTTTGGTGGATGAGGAAGGAAATGAATCTCAAACAAAATACCTTGCTGAGAAAGCTGGTCTAAGTGGTGGATGGCGAGGATTTTCTATTGATCATGGACTAGTAGATGGGGATGCGGTGGTGTTCCATCTTGTCACGCCTACAACATTTGAGGTACTTAAGAAATAAACTATATCTGCTTAATTTGAATAGGAAACTGCATTTGTTATACATCAGGACTCTAAAATGTTTTTGAAATGTACAGAATGTTTAGTATCCTATGAATTTATTTTTTAAAGCTCACAACAAAAACTCACATTATTATAATTTGTACAAGTAGGTCTACCTTCAAACAAAGTTACTGTTGATGTTCTATTTACCCACCGAACGTGCTCATGGTTCTCTTTACTTCTCCCGGATTTATTTCACTGAAAATATATGGATTTTCTGTGTATGTGCTCACACTATTCATGCTTCAGTTTAAAGGGATTTTCCCTTTTTTTTAGTGCTTATTGCATATTTTGGCCTCAAAGTGAATTCTCCGTATGCTCATATTGCGTCATTGCCATACCCTTTTATTTAAAGTACATTACCATATCTTAATTGCATTGTCTATTCTCCTTAGGTGTACATTGTCAGGGCGTACGAGTCAGAAGACCGTGATGATAACAACGAGGATTCAGTTGACACTCACTTGGGCAGGAGTGACAAACAAACCAGATCAAGTATCTGTTTTTCACTCCCTTCTAAATCTCTACAAGTTGTTTTCCTCTTTAGTAGATTTCAAAGCATGCTTGTTTATTAGTTACTACTATTTTTGCCAGCTTAAATGGACTATTCTAAGTTCATTCAAGTTTAACAAATCAACCATGTAACTAATTTTATCAATATGAATCAGAAGACAACAAAGACAAAAGCAATGAGGATTCGGATGACACTCACAAGGCCAGAAGTGGCAAACGAACCAGATCAAGTAACTGCTTTTCACTCCCTTCTAAATCTCTATAAATTATTATCATTTTTGGTAGATTATGAAAGCATGTCTGTCCAGTGATTAGAAACCCGACCATTGCAGTGACCCGGTGGCCTATCCAGCCAGGCCATCAGGTCACGGGTTGAGCGGTTTGACCAGCGGTTTAAATCTAACAAAACCACCCCTAGCAATTCATGTAAGTCCCATAGGTTTGAAATCTTGCAAAAGCACACCTAACACCACCATCAGCATCAGCAAATAGGGCATATTTCTGATGACAACAACACTCTGCATCACCACGAAAACACTCGTCTCAGCCTCCTAACCAAAACTCATCTCACCCCTCTTATATTCGCCTCCCCAGTCACCGACAACAGCAGGCTTGGTTTTGCGATTTCCGACAACATTGTTTTGCGATTTCTAGTCGATTCACTCACCAAAAATCGACGTCGTTGCCGCAATTCTACTCACTGGCCATTTCTCTTCAAAAGTTCTAACATTCCAGTCTTCAATTGTTCATGGATTGATGTCCTAATTTCTAGGGTTTTGAATGAATAGAGAATTTTATAACCTGACCCGATAAAGGCCCGGTCACAGTTGAACCAGTTCAACCGGCCAGGTCAGGTCGGGTTTCCAATCACTGTGTCTATCTATGAAAATCATAAGGCCAGTAGTATCCATTTTCTGCCAGCTGACATGGACGAGTTGACATTCATTCATATATTAATCATATCTATGGCACATATTAATAATTGGTCAGTATGAATCAGAAGACAACAAAGACGAGGAGGAGGATCTGGATGGCACTAACAAAGGCAGGAGTGGCAAACGAACTAGAGCAAGTAATTTGCTTTTCACACCCCCTTAATATCTGTAGAAGTAGTAAATATGAGGCATGCCTTTCCTTTAAGTCATTATAATTTCTGACAGCTTATAGCTTATAGAGATGAATTAAAATTTGCTCTCAGGTTCTCATGTCTATATGGTTTTGCTTGTGGCAGGTAGAAAGTAATCTGTGAAAATGTCAGATTTGGCAGCATAGAAGCCATAGTAGAAATTTTATCTCCGCAACATGCTCTGGAGTCTTATGTTAGTGTCAAAAGTTATTAAATTGACTTGAGCTTTAAACCATCGTAACTTATTAGTTTATCGAAACAGTTGGGATTACTAAAGAAAAACAAGTTGACCGTAAGTCAAGCATGGCAGTGTGGAACATAGACGAGCAATGAGATTAGTGTATTCTGTAAAATGGAGGATATCTTCTGATGTCTTGTAGATACTGAAATTTGCTAGTGAAAAATCGAATCAAGAAGATGTCCTCTTTGGCAACGAAATATTTAGTCTTGTTGAATGTCTAGAACAATGTTTTAATAACCAACCTAGGGTGAAAACGACAAAGTTGCCCGGTCATGGGTTGATTGGTCGGTCAAATTGGGTGACAAATTTTAAAATTCAGCAAATACACCCTTAAAAATTACGACAAGTATTTATAGATTTAAAAGTTAGCAAACACAACCCAAATACAAATCGATGGTCGATTGGTTGGTTGCAACGACACCCAAAATGCAATTCCAATCATTCCTTGAGCCCATTTTCTAGAAAATTTACCCAAGATCTGGCCAAAATCGAGATCTCATCAATGCCAGTATCGACAATTTAGGCTAGATTTCACTAACGTTAGCGTCGACAACCTGTCCCATCACCTCGAAAATACTCCCCTTTGCCTACTGACTAAAACCCACCTAACCGCACCCCCATTAGCCTTGCCAATCGTCGGCAAAAGCCGACTATTGCCACCACTTGCTTTTTTCGATTTTCAATCGATTCACTTACTGAAAATCAACTCAATCGCCACTATGGCACTTACCTGCATTCTCTCTTCAAAAGCTCCAACATCTCGGCCTTCAATTGTTCGTCAATCATTATCTCAATTTCTAGGATTTTCGGTGAACAGTGAAATAGGTAATCCGACTCAATGAAAGCCTTGGGTCCCGGTTCAACCGGTTGGGTCGGTCTGGATTTTAAAACAATGGTCTAGAATCTTAAATCGAATGTTAGTCGTAAAGACTAAAGAGGCGTCTTTCCCATCGTGATTATACATATGAAAAATCAATCATGGGACGAATGCATGAAATTTCAAGAGAGTATATTTCCATAGAATTCAAGTAATAATGGGTATAAGATAAAATTCAACAAATACTGTGGCATCAGTTAATAGCTCAAGCCTCAAAGTTTGTACATCCAATGTTTTCGTTTAACTTATTGTTTCAAAATTTTATTCTTGCAAGATACAAACACACTTGTTTATTTAGTGGCTTACTTGATTTGACCAACTATAAGACAGATAAGGATATGCATACAGTAAAAGCCTGATCTGAATCTTCCTTTCTTTGTCTAAACTTATTGTTTTGTATTAAGAATTGCTTGTAGAAGGATGATTCAAACAAAAGTTAATTACTCATAACTTTGCCATTTGTTGACTGAAAGTTGGATCTACACAAACAACCACCTGCAAAATTTTCATTAAAGTAACAAGCACATAAATTAGCAACAGAAGATTGTCGACGCTTTTAATAAACAGAAGGTAGACATAGAAATAAGTACAGTACATACCTTGCCGACACTTTTACCAGAATGAAGATATTCAACTGCATCTGCTACAGAATCAAGACCTATAAACCTTTTTGGGTCTACAGAAACCTGTAACAATTATACATAAACAACTGAGACACTCAGACCTCTTCTTTCGACCATAATACTCTTTAATGGAAATCTAACACTGGCAGTGACTACTGCAAAGAGGACAGCTTGAAAATAGGTCCATAAAACACAAGCCATTTACATCTAACATATATAACATTTATGCTACTGCAATATGATAAATACAAATATTATTAATCTTCAAGATGATAGCATTAATGAATAAAAATTAATTAGAGAATACGAGATGCATGATTGGTATGTTTGAGTTGAACAATTGTTTACTTATGCAAAATAATGTAAAAGCTGACCATCGTTCTAGAAATAATAGTAGCATGTACATGCAACACCAAAAATATGTCTTATAATCTGTCAGATTGGTTCATGTTGCCCAATCAGAACTATCGACAGGTTAGTCTTCCACGGTACTAAAATAAAAAATTCTAAAAAAAAAATAAAAAATTACAAGTTATTATATTTCTAGTCATACAATTTTTCATGTGATCCCAATGGCAGATGGATTCTCAGTTGACATTTCAGTAAATTTTAAAAAATATATGCATCAGATTTTAACAAAACATAAGAATTCTTTTATTTATTTATTATTAAGTATATGTGAGAAGAGAAAAAAAAAAAGTGATTTTACATCAAAAATAAAGGGGAAACATATTTTAAATCACAATAAAAGAACTGATGTCGATATCATCTTAGACATTACTATACACAGTCCATAACCGCAAGCCAATGAGGATTACCTTAAGCTTTCCTGTAGAGTAAAGATTGATGAGTCTGTCCAGATGCTGTTGCCACAGGTGAGCATATTGTACCAAGAAAAATCCAGCCTGAAAAACATCAGCAACTTTAAAACAACCATACAAAGAAATCCAATGTTCTTATAAATCCTCACAAGATATTCTACTAGTGGTCCATTTGGTTGATAAGCATCGAGAAAAATAAAAAACAAAAGAGGATCTGGAAGTCCATAACTTAACAACTAAAATTTGAGACTCAAAGCTACTCAGAAATGGCCCAACCATATTATTTCTACTGAAGAAACTCTCATATGTGCCACCAAAATCACCTAATGGACTTGTTATGTGGATAAATACATGGAGGATCTAGACAAAGGCCAGCTTTCTTTTTCCCTTTTTGTGGTTATAACTTATTTAGTCTATGGAATAGTAAGCTTAAAACAAAAGACCTCTTGGTAAAAGTTTTAGATGTTAGGAAATGACTTAACCATAATATTTAAATTACTAAGAAGTAAAGACGAGCATTCGAGACATTTATTGTCGTAAAATCTTTAATATCGATCTAGCATGCAAAATTTCACTAGATATGATCTATAAACATCCCGTCAATTTCAGAAGTTAAAATGCGACAATGCATCTGAAAGAAAATATATCCAATGAGAAAGGAGCAGTGGCAGCATAATTTCATCATTTAGCAGCTACATACCACAGTTTGGCTTTTTGCTAAAATCTTTTCACATAGTCCAGTATAATTTGATGGCTTCCATCCTTTTTCTCCTTGATACTGAAACAAAAATGAAACATTTATAGGCCGTAGACCAAAAAGAATAAACAAATCCAAGAACAGCTTCACATATAAAAATAAAAATTAAATCAAAGAAACTTAAGAAGAGAATGCTTATGTTACTAGATATAGATTTAGAATAAAAACAGATATGGATTCCAATGAATTATAAAGTATTTTTTAACTTAAATCACAATTTATAAGGTAAATCCATGGAAGACATGACATTTCTACTCTTCCAAAGTGGAGACCATTTACAAAATATGTGGTGGAGTAGTATGCAATCAAAAATCTTAAGAAACCACCGGATAAAGTCCGTCAAAAGGCAACAATTCAATTGGATACATAAGCAAACTAGTAAATGAATAAATTAACATGATAAAACTTCAAACACAGCTATGTATTTTCAACTCTGACTCTTAAGAAGTTAGTAAAGACCCAGTTGATATCTTCTGAAGTTCAGTGCATCTCCTTCCCAGGCTTACATGCCTCTGATCCAACATTCAATTTATCAATGGCAGCCAACAACTAACTCTATCATTAACTCCTACAATCTTGCCAAAGTGGTTTTGAACTGATGATCAAATCCAAAAATCAAAATTGGAAAGAGCAAAAACTTTAAATTGAAATGAAATTGTCTATCAACTTTCAGGAAACCTTTGAATTTTTATTTTATTAATGATGTATCAATTTTTGTATACAAATGGAATGCTACAGTGATGGATAAAACAATAATAATGCAGGCAAAGAATGATGAGAAGTTGTGAAACACTACAGAAAACAAGTAAATAGCAAATAAAAAAATAGGAACTATAAACTTCAGTATGACACCATTTTGATGAGATGCATTTCAGAGAAAACAACCTGGGAAATCATTCCAATCACAATGAGTCGTCCATAGACTGCCAAAGCATTCAAGCACAAATTAAACATGTCACCCCCAACAGATTCATAAATGATGTCAAAACCTTTGGGAAACTCCTTCTTTAGAACCTGGCCGAATCAAGTCATAAATCATAAGCAATCTCTACATAAGAACATAAGATTTGAAGCATTTAAAATAATAATTAAAAAAAAAAAAAAAAAGCAGGAACAAATCATCACATTGTTTATTGGAATAAATAAGATTCAAAAGTGTGAAAAGACATATTCTGGTATCTAAGACCATGCTCATATATGGGATCAAATCCTAGGACATGCTTCGATGGGCAAGATAATTTGACATACAAACAAGCGAATCCTTAAGTTCCTACTAACATTATTTGAAAGTTTCAAACAGGTTTGTTCTACTACAAAAAGAAATTATAGGAAACAAAACGCATGTTATTATCGAAGAAGAAGAGAGACAGCAGTGGACCAGGTGTCCACAACAGCAGGAAAACAAAAAATCAGTGGAGAGAAAATTCTAAAATCCTGTAATGGCTAAGCTGAAATCTTGCATGTGATTTTAAGATATTTGACTTTGTAATGATATTAAAGGCCAATGAATGTACATATTTGCACATGCACACATGTAAGTTAATGCTGAAAAAACATTTCTAGAAGCCTATGGAAAAAGAAAAAAAAAATCATAAATAAAAGTGCCTAATTGATCCCACTGTTGAATCAACTAACTCACTGCATCAAAAATGAAAACGTTATCTCAGCGCACTAATTCCTCCCAATAACAGAAAACAGTAAGAAGATAGAAAACTGAAACAAAAATTACAGACGTACAGATTTGATATCTTCAACTTTATAATTTATGACACGATCAACTCCTAGGTCTTTCAAAAGCTGCGCCTTTGTCTCTCCTCCACATGTTGCCACCACTGTATTTCCTGCTAATTTCGCAAGCTGCAAATGTAGCAATTCGTTACTAGTACGCTTGGTCAGCCATGAAAATAAATGCAAAAACATTGACTTGAGTGTACAGAAATCAATTTTGACTGTGACCCAAAAAAAAAAAAAAAAAAAATACCTTTACAGCAATACGAAGTCAAATATAAGATGAACTGATGGATAAGCTGGTCAATAGAAATATGCTATGTCTTCAACAATGACATAGATAATGTCAGTATGATCATAAATTTGTCCATGCATTAGAACCTCATGTGTTTTTAAGTACAAGTGACCTTCTGCAATTTACATCAAGAAGTAAATTTTTCCTAGGCTACAACTCCAACCTCCATTCTCCAGCATGGTAATCTTTTTTTCTCTCACCTAAATTACTAGAAATCCTCAAATTTAGTAGCCCAGGGATATATACCATGCCTACTAAGAAACAATGGTAGCATTTTCAAGATCAATAAAGTGTTGCACAAGAGCTACATCAAAAGGACCAGAGAAAGTATATCAGCTCCAAGAATTAGACTGTCAAAGATAAAAAAAATAATAATAATAATAATACCCACATAATGAGAATATAAAAAAATTATTCATCACATAACACATGATTTAACACATGATTATTGCACTTTATTAAATAAAGAAAATAAATGAATTACCTAACTAGTCTAGAATAAGGATGGGCACAAACTATTGCAATAGCTGAAGAAAATTTCATATTTGTACTGAAACAGAGTAAAACATGTATGAGAGGATAATTATTCTGAAAGTAAACCTGGACAGCAAATTGCCCAGTCCCTCCGGCAGCAGCTGTAACAAAAACTTTTTGCCCAGATTCCATCCGCCCAGCCTAAAAGTTCCAAAAGGAATTGTCAGAAGTGAAATGTATTACTTAATGAAGGCTATATTACATATATCAAACATGATAAAGAATACCAAAAGAAGGAATATAGAGAATAAAAGCTGAAAAAAAAAGAAATGAACGAGTATAAATATTCACGGATGTGATGACAAAAGAACCAGCTTAGAACATTTGTGTTTGTGTGTGTGCGCATGCATGTAGAAAAATCAGCACTCAGAATTGGAAAGTATATGGAACATACCTTTTCTAGAGCAATTGATGCTGTTAGTCCTGAAGTAAGCATGGCAACAACTTCTGGATCTGGTCTGGCCACAGGAAGGATGTGTTTGGAATGAACCTAATTCATGGGATAGAATCCACAATCGATGAACTTTATAGCTGAAATAACTGAAGCAATTTTACAATTAATTAACATGTGGAAACTTGAAAGAAATTTACAACAATAGTGTACCGTGGAATATTCAGCATAACTGCCAAAAACCATGATGGCAGCCGGAGTGCCAACTTTCAGGTCAGAGACACAGTCCCCTACTGCTGCAATTATTCCCACTGCCTGTAAGTTAACCATGAGTAGCACTAGGTTTACAAGGGTTATGTCTATAAAAAACATGATCAACCATAGCATATCTACAAATTAAGTTGCATCATTACACCATGACATTCAAAATATAATCTTTATGCACCTCAAAGCCAGCATCAAATGGAAGACGAGAACCAACAGTATTGGTGTTGCCAGAGAAATAACGACCTGAGCTGAAATTAACCTGTTCAGGAACTTTACAGATCAGAGATATCCACTTAATTGAGAAGGAAAGAGAAATGAAACGAGAGATCTTATGTCCAACAAATAAAAGAAAAAGTAACACAATAATTATTTTCAGGAGTCAGACTTACATCACTAGCATTTACTCCAGCATAAACGATTTTCAGGAGAACATGATTTGGTTTAATGGGTAATCTCAATGGAGAGCGGACTTTGCCGGTTGCATTTCGAAAATCATGAGTCAAGGTGTGAACAACTCTGGAAAGCATGATCAAAATGAAGTTTTCAGCAACTGTCAAGTACTAATACGCATGTTACTTTCCCTCCAATAAGCTCCAAGAAAGGTAAACAACTTTAAATGAATGGTTGCTTCTGTGCAACAAATATATGGTAAAACAAAAAATTTGGAAATTCCAAACAGATAATATAATGAAGCATGAGGCGTGTGCAAAAGTAAGTTATATCTGTACATTTGCATGACCACTACTACACCATATCAAGAACATTAAGAGATTGTCACAACTGCAAGAGCTGTAAACAATTGGGCTTTCATATTATTTGTGCCATTCACTACTCAACCCACCGAAGCACTTTCTTACTCACCATATGTACTGCACTAAAACTTTGTAGAATTTAACAATCAGCGTCTTTTTTACTATTTCTTATATCTCAAATAGTCACCTCTCTTACTAATCTGACTCTCCTTATTTATTTCACAAAGAACTTAGCCATTGAAAATGTACCAGAGCTTTCAGAATGTAAGTAAGACAATGGAAAGAACCCCAGAGTATACTAGAAGAGAAAACCAAATTATGATGAATTTAAAGATTATTGGAGATAATATGGCTTGAGATGAAAATGAATATCCTAAGGAGAACTTTTAAGAGTTTTCAATGTGAAGAGAAGACAACTGTAGTGAGCTAACTTTTATAAAAGGAAAGACTATGGTGGCCATTTTGATGAAGGTAAAGCTTCACATTCAACTCATGTCAGAAAGGGCAGCCTAATAAACAACAGTCAGCACAGAAAATTCTAACATGTTAGCTTCAAATAATAGATTATTGTACCAATGCCAGATTCAGTCACTTTGTAAATTCATGTTATCAAACCAAATGACAAGTTGAATGGATTGCTTGAAATTCTACTAAAATTTCCATCACCAACCACTAAATAGAAAAGCAAAATTGACAAACTTATACTCACATTTTCTCAAAACTCTGCGGAAGTTGGATGTTAAGATTCAAAGGGGTGCTGACTGAAGACCTCTTCCTAGAACTTGAAGAACGCACCAAGTATTTTGCTTCTTCAGTTGGGGTGGGCCAATACTCCAAGCCTCTGCGATTTGTAATCCATAGGCATGAACCAGCTTTACTCTCATCGCTAATAAGCTCAAAAGCACCTAAAATTATAAAAGAATATATTTAGCTGCAAAAAGGAATGGGAAAAAAATAGAAGACTAATTGCTCGATGATCTCCTATCTTGAGTCAATTTTTACAACTAAAAGTCCTCTGACATCAAGCACCTTCTAGTAGTAGCATCAATATAATAAGGTAGCAAAGAACCTTAAAAATCAATCTGATACCAATCCAAAAAACTTATAGAAAGCAAATGGAAAATTCTGTCCAAGTTTAAACTTTTTAATAGATAGAGTTGACATCCTACAAAACACTTGACACAGTATGCTAAAGTTTATTCACACTTCATCTCTTCCCCCCAACTCCTACCACCTTCACTGCATCCAAAAGCTGATATGTGTAGTAATTTTAGCTTGAAGTTTTGGAGAAGATGAATCTAAGAGTAGCAGGAGAGTAGAAAGGCTTTGCAGATGTAGATTCTGGGTAAAGGGTTTTTGTGGAGTAGTTGAAGTAAAAAGGTGGTTACTTTGATGAGTATGTTCAGCAGATTGATGCAATCAAGCGGCAAGTTGCCCAATTTGAAGCTATGTTTCTATGCTTGATAAATATTAAACAACACCAACTTTCTTAAATAAAGCTTCCACCTACTTGTTTTAAAGAAACAAAGAATATAAAAAATTATAATCAGAACTGTTTCGATTGAAATTTATATGCAGAATACCTTTCACCACCATTTTCATGGGCACAAAGCCCCCCATCCAACCAATAAATTTAGGATCCACTTTTGAGCCCATGTCAGTTTCAACAAACTGCATCAAAAGTCATAGTAAAACCACATGAAAAGCCATAAACTCGCCCAAAAATAGCAGTGGATAGTTTATGTTGCATATAAGTAAAATAACTAGATGACTGAGAACTCATAATAGCAAATACAAGCACTACACATCATAAAATTATATACTCAAACTAAGAGTTGGGCTCCGTAATCAGTTTTAGAAAGATACTATTTCTGCAGATACTGAAAACTACAGGTTGAGACACATGTTTGATGACACCTAGATAAGAAAATGATGGCCACATATTTGTGGACCCAAAAGTCACTCTTGTAGCCTTCTTAACATGATATGACTGCAGAAACAAACAATATTTTACAGAAAAGAATATCCCAAAACCCAAATACCAAATGCAGTCCTGGCACTCAAGTTCATTTAACATATAACCATCTTACCAACCAGAAATTTCAAAAAATTGGGCAGACATCATACTAGAAAATGTCCCCAAAATGCTTCAAAACTAGAGTTACCTCAGGGCAAAGCACATTGACACGAATTCCCTGACGTTTGTAGGGAGCAAGTGATCTAGTAAATAGAACAACCCCGCCTGCAAGAACAAATTTCGTAAGTACCAAACTCTACATGCGCCAGTACATGCTTTAGGATTTTATTTGTCTATGTTGACACCTAAAGAAAAGCAAAACTTGACTAAATGCATGCTAGAATGAAATTGGTAGCATAAAGTGATAAAAGACTGTAAACCTTTTGAGCCTGAGTAGATAGGGTCCATATACATCGGATAAAGACCAGAAGACGAACCCATATTTATAATCACTCCAGGCTTTTTCATAGCTTGCATAATTCCAATCTGTTCAGAAACAACAGACGATTACTCAGAGTTACCGCATATTCCCCTCAAATTAACATAATATAAAACATAAACCCCTACTGGAGTGTAATCTTAATATCTCCAATTCATCAGGCACTTTATTCTGTTGGGATGGACAGGGGGAATGCAACCTATCTAGCATAAATTGCAAAAACTTAACCTTTACAAACAAATTTTCCACAAAAAAAAAAAAAACTTAAATAAGGTAACTGGTGAAAAGTAGAAGCAATGATATACCACAGTTTGTGTGGTATAAGTATAGAAGATTTAAAGAAGCTTAAGAACAAATGCAGTTTGGGTTTAAATCCAACAACACCATAGAATAAATACTTATGTGCGAAAAGGCTAGTCCAGAAATCTATGAGACCACATTCATTAGCAAACTACTTCTGGAAATATCAAGGTGTTAAGAGCAAGCATAAGAGAGTAAACCATGAAAGGCTTGCTAAACTTTAAGCATACCGCTCGGCGAGTGCAATCAATAATTGCATTGAGATTCACATCAATGGTGAGTCTCCAAGAACGCGTTCCATCAGTTTGATCCTTATGGAAAGGAATAGGATTGCCTATGCCAGCACTGTTGATACAGATATCCAATCCTCCATATGTTGCTACATGCTTCTCAAATGCAGCAGCTATATCTCCTGTTCATAGCATACGTATTCACATAAATATCAGAAGGGTGCCAATACTACATTATTTTGGATCAATTGCAAGCATGCGTAATGAGGAAAGTGAGCAACAGTAAAAGATTATGCAGAATTTGTATTTAGAGAGGTATATATGATTCAATGCCCTGATAAGCAAATGCCAACACTGAACAATAAAATTGGAAGAGATTTCGAGCTTCAAGAAAAAATTTATATATATATATATATATATATAGTAAACTTACTAGTGTTGGTTACATCACATCTTATAAAAATAGCTGGTGGAAATCCCAAGTTTGAATGGAACTTAGCATTCTCTTTCTCCACAAGGGATGCAACTTCCTTCCCCCTATCTTCAGAAAAATCAACAATTGTTACAAATATTCCCTTCTCTCCAAGAGCTAAGCTTAGAGCTTTACCTGCATATCGGACAGCAACATTTTACCAAACTGACAACTGAACAATCATACATCTATAAGATTCACAAAAGAAGCAAAATATGCTTTGACAATTTAAATTCCAATGAGTTTTCACCTCTTCATGACACAAAAAAATTAATAAACAGATATTCCTTCTACGATTCATTGAAATGCCTATATTTCTTTTTTATTTTTTTTTTAATAATATTACATTCGAGAATGACTACTAAAATTATCGTAGTTCAAATACTAAAGATTCAAAATTTGCCATGTCCACAGTTTTAAACTCGAGTCAACTACGTAGGTTCATTGGATTTCTGAATTTTAAAAGAAAATTACCCAATATTCTAAACCCGAATTCCAAATCAATCACTAAACAACTCAAATCACTACAGTACTGTAATCAATCAAAATAGATGTTTCAAGACTTGAGATGAATACATACCAATCCCAGAGGCACCACCAGTGACAAAAGCTGATAAGCCCGGTTTCAGTTCCATTTTCTCTGAAGTGCGTGTTGACTTTCCAGTTCGTTAAGTAATATAGGCAGGTTCTAAATATGGAATTGATTATTAAACTTGTTCTTAATCAATAATCACTTTCAAAACTAAGCCTTTGTCACCATTCTTACAGAGTTTACAGTTCGTTCACTACAAGACAGGCCTAAAAGTACAATGCTTGCGTTGCTTCCATGTATTATCCGTACTTTCCATTTTAGAGGTATTTAAAAAAACAAAAAAAACAAAAAAAAACAAAAAATTGTAAATGTCGCACTAGAGTTGTATGAAAAAAAGTTGTACGCGTAATACTCTTTTCTTCTTTGTGTTATAAGGTTGGTTACAACTTTTTCTTATAATTATGACGTGACAGTTCGTAATTAATCAATTTATAATAAATTTTATTTGACTAATTATAAATTATTACAATATTATGTGTATGAAAAAGTTGTAAATATAACTTTATTGTATTTCAAAATACCACAATCCCACGTTGAAAATGAAATACTCTCATAAGCACTTTACAAAGGAATGTGCTACATGCAAGATATAGCAAGCTTATGTTGACGTTTGAATACTAAGCTTTCTAGTTCATCATCGTGTTCTAATAATGCTAGGTCTATAACTCAATCTCATTTTTATCACGAGTAATGTTAGGTTTATAACTCAATCTCACTTTCTCCACGAGTAATATTAGGTCTATAATCAAATCTCACAACTCTAAGCAGGCGGGACCTATTTGTGCTAATAAATTACAAGTTGTCACGTCGAGGATCAAGTTATTTGTGACCAGTTTGCGCCATGAAATTTGAATTTGAAGACGGTGTGTTTCTACATTTTTTTATAACCGGGGACTTTCGAGACCCTAGAACTACCAACCAGGTAAGAGATCTTGTGGCTTCCTATTAGCACCCGAGGAGACACTTAAACTCAAAATCTTTTGAGTAATATACTTAAAAGTTTCTATCAAACCAATCGATCAACCCAAAGGTAGTTTGCATGCATTGACGTGTTTGTTGTTTCTTACCGTGCTCGATTCTGCTAATTCATGGTTGTTTGCTGCTGGTGTTTTGTTCCATCTGATTGTTCTTTGCCATCATTGATTATGCGGCAGCTGTTGCTTGTCTTTGGCGAGAGCTAGTTTCTAACATTCTATCTACCCTTACTGTCGATAACATTCTGATCCACGTCATTAATAAATCTCAGGACCAAAACATTTGAAAAATTCTACAGTACTAATTTGATTTTAGCCAAACTTTAGGGACGACAAAGTGCGTTTGGTTTATTATTTTGGATAGGATTTTGGAGATAGTATTGGATAATTGAATATGGGAGTATTACAAGGTAAAATTTAAAAATTTATAAAAACAACCCCCTAAGTTTGCTAATTTAATAAATACCCCAACATATAAAATGACAAAAATACCCCCACCACGTGCAGTGCCAGATTCCGGCCACCACTGTCGGAATCTGGCCGAAAATCGCGTTATGACACAGATCGGTCGGATCTGTGTCGTAACGCATCGTTATGGCCTTTTCCGGCCAGATCCACCACGGATCTAACCGGAAAAGGCCAGATCTATGGCCTACTATGGCTGTCGACGACCAAAAAAGGCCAAAACGACGGCCAAAGATATGGCTACCGTTTTCGGTCAACGATGGCCAAGATCGGTGAATTATCATCCAGTTCCAGTCGGTTATTCACCGTTGTGGCAGATTTCGGCTGCCACCAATAGTGGTTGCCAGAATCTGGCAAGTATGAGTCATGGGGGTATTTTTGTTAATTTTCAAAACTTTTTTCAAGGGGTATTTAATGAAATTAATAACTTTATAGGGTCTAAAAGTAATTAAAAGAATATAATAATATTTCTGAAATAATGTACCAAACATTATTTGGAGAATAAGATTATAAATATGGGTAGAAATAATATTTCTGAAATAATGTATCAAACATTATTTAGAGAATAAGATTATAAATATGGGCAGAAATAATAAGCCGAACATGTCTATTATGCCAAAAAGGTCTTTTATTAGACTACGGCAGCCGGCATCTAGCGCGTGAAACACATGCCTTGTGTATAATATGACATATAATTAAGTCAGATTTTTTTCTACTGGGTAAAATTATTAAGGCTCCGTTTGGTTCAAAATTTGGGGGTTTTGGGAAAAGTTTTTTGAAAAAAGTTAAAAAAAAGTTGAATTGGGCGGGTATTACGATGTAGGATTTGTAAATTAATAAAATACCCTATATATTTATTTTTTTACAAAATACCCCCTATAATAAAACATTAAAAGTTAACAAAAATACCCCTAACCTACCCTCAAACACCCCCAGTCGGCCACCACCACCTGAGGTGGCCGAAGTCACCTTATGGGCGCATGACCGGCTGGATCTTGCCGGTCATGCGCCGATATGGCCTTTTCCGGCCAGATCCACGGTGGATCTGGCCGGCAGATCTACGGCCAGATCTGGCCGTCAACCGCCAGATCTGGCCGTATTTGCTCTCAACGACGGCCAACAAACGGTCATCGTTGACCATCAACGATGACCGTTTGTTGGCCGTCGTGACCGACTGTTACTGCCAAAGATCTGGCCGTCAATGGCCAAATCTTTGGCCTTAGATCTGGCCTTTTCCGAAGGCTAGATCGGCGCACTACCGGCCAGATTCAGTCGGTAGTGCGCCATCCTACCAGATTCCGACCATTTTCCGAAGGTGGTGGCCGGAATCTGGTAAATGTGGATTATTGGGGTGTTTTTGTAATTTAAAAAAATATTTAGGGGTATTTAATCAAATTATCAAATTTAAGGGGTTTGAAAAAAGTTGAATAATATTGGGAGTAGTATTCCCAAAAATCTGAGTTTTTGGGTATTTTACTGTTTAACTTTTTTGGGAATACTAAAAGTAGTATTCCCAAAACTGAAACAAACGCAGTCTAAGACATAATCATTACACCTTTATTTTATTTTAAATAATTTTTTTCTTTTAAAACAAAAAATTGAATTTTACAAGTGCGTTTGTTTGCTATTTTTAACTTATTCTATTCTTATTATTTTCAAAATATACATTTATTTCCTTATTCTGAAAATATTATTATATTTTATTTGATTTTTAAAACTCATTAAGCTTGTTAATTTAACTAAACACTCTAAAAAAAGTTTAAAAATTGACAAAAAACCCCTACTCACCCACATTTACCAGATTTCAGCCATCGCTATCAATAGGTGATCAAAATCTGATATAATGACGCACTATCAGTTGGATCGGCTATTAACAACTAAGATATGATCGTAACTAGTCGTCAACGATAACTAAGGTATGACCGTTGTTGACCATCAACGACGACCATATATTTTGCCATCGTTGACAACCAAACGCCACTAAATCTGACCTTCAATTGTCAGATCTAGCCGTAGATCTGGCATTTTTGATCAGATCCACGATAGATCTAGCTAGAAAATATCATCTTGGTGCACGATTGGTCAGATCCAGTTGGTTATGCACCAATACAGCTACTCCGACCACTATCCTAAGGTGATAGTCGATTGCTGGTATTTAATGAATGAGTGAAAGTGTTTTTATAATTTTTAATATTTTTTATTATAATGGTATTTAATAAATTAATAAACTTAAGAGAGTATTTTTGTTAATTTTTAAATCTTACTTTATTATTACCACCTAACTCTTTTTTTTTTTTCGAAAATACAAAAAACAAATTAACCCCGCATCTTAATTTACCATATTACAAAACGAGGCAGACAATTTGGTCCGGTCGGGTTTGGTTATTATTTGTCTTTCTTAGTGGTTGTCATACTCATGATACGACATGTACTCAGTTGTCGGTTTTGCTGAATCCTCAAATTTTGTCCTTTCCTCATTTTTTTTGACTTTATTGCATGCCTCTCTTTGATCCCACTAAGCAGGCTTTCTTCAGCTCTTAAACAACAAAATAATAATAAAGTAAGAAAGATATTAATGTAAGGCTTATTTAAATGAATTTTCATATTTTTATAATTCTTTTTTAGGTAAGGCAATACAAAGTGTTTCCATAATCCATACCTTTAGAAAAATTTAATTATTATTATTATTTTTGAATATTTTAAATATTAATTGTTGGTGTTTAGGGTTTAATTGATTTATTTAGGTGATATTTAACGCACTTAGCCATCACCACTATTACCCATTGGGAGTTTGGGACTATATATTGCATAAATCAAACACAAGACCTTTAAGTATAACTAAAAGCTAACGATTTTTTATCAACAAAATAATGGTTTAATGACTTTTTTTTACCTACAGACTTTTAAAATATAACTTTATTATGTAAATTTATATTCTAGTGGCAAACAGAGAGCAAACTCAGTCTAAGCTATTGGGGTTTTTGAAGAGGAGAGACCGATGAGTCTTTTGGTAGTAGAATGTTAGATATTGGTGGTTGAAATTGATCGGAATTTGACTTGGGAGACACGATTGTGCAAACCCTAATCGCTCACTTGTCTGCGATTGATAGGATCGGTGGGAGTAGGGTTTGAGAGGTTTTAGTGAGTGATAATCGGAAAAGAAAAGAGTAGTGATGTGGTGTTGCAACGATACCAGAATCGGAAACAAAATATAAATTTGGATAATAAAATAGTATTTTAAAAGTATGTGGGTGGGAAATATTATTAAACAATTATTTTGGTGGGAAAAAACCGTTTACTCATATAATTAAACCCAATGGTTAAAGGACTTGTCATTCGGGAGAGATGAATATCTCATGATATAAAAATGTGCTAAAAGAAATAATGTAGAATATTTTCAGGGTAAATACTATCCATAATATATTTCTCAATCCCATTAATATTATGCTCCCCAATAATTTTGAATGTGACACTTGCCAAAATAAAGGGGTTTTTTATGCACATGATAAGATATAAGTCTTTTTGTCAATTTCTGCAAGTGGCTCCCTTATTATCTAACCTTTTACCAATTTATAATCAAAGATAATATAGGATGCCAAACCATTTACTCATATAATTAGTACTACTCTGTACGTTAGCCAAACTTTAGGGACGGCAGAGTTATTTTCCCTAGCGCGTGAAACACATGTCTTTTATTGGACTACGGCAGCCGGCATCTAGCGCGTGAAACGCATGTCTTGTGTGTATGACATATAATCATTGAACCTTTATTTTATTTTAAATAATTTTTTTTTCTTTTAAAACAAAAAATTGAATTTTATATCAACTACAAATTAACCCGCATCTTATTTTACCATATTACAAATAATTTTTGACTTTATTGCCGGCCTCTCTTTGATCCCACTATGCAGGCTTTCTTCAGCACTAAAACAACAAAATATAAGGCTTATTTAAATGAATTTTCATATTTTTATAATTCTTTTTTAGGTAAGGCAATACAAACTACAAAGTGTTTCCATACTTTTAGAAAAATTTAATTATTATTATTATTATTATTTTTTGAATATTTTAAATATTAATTGTTGGTGTTTACGGTTTCATTCACTTATTTAGACAGCAGTCATCACTATTAATAATTGGGATGAAATATTGCACAAATTAAACACAAGACCCTTATGTATAACAAAGAGTTAACGATTTTTTTTCACCTAAATAATGATTTAATGACATTTTTCCATCTACAGACTTTTAAAATATCACTTTACTATTTAAATTTATATTCTAACGATAAACAGAGAGCAAATTTGATCCAAGCTGTTTGGGCTTTTGAAGAGGAGAGACCGATGAGTTTTTTAGTGGTAGAATATTGGATATTGGTGGTTGGAATTGATTAGAATTTAACTTAGGAGGGGCGGTTGTGTAAACCTTAATCACTTAATTGCCGGTGATTCGCGGGAGTACGTTTTCAGGGGTTTTGGTGAGTGATGATCGGAGAAGAAAATGGTGGTGGTGTGGGGTTGCAACGATGTCGAAATAGGAAACGAAATATAAATTTTGGTTGTAAAATAGTATTTTAAAAAACTATGAGTGGGAGAGAGTCATTAAGCGATTATTTGGGTGGGAAAAAGTCATTTACTCTTTTATGAACCCTAATATTTATAATAAACTTCTAGTAAATCAATTTTTTTTTTTTTTTTAATAAATGTGTCAACATTAATTGTAAACCACCCCACCTGGATGGATATTTCATGATATATAAATGTGCTAAAAGAAATAATGTAGATGAATATTTTTAGGGTAAATACTATCCATAATATATTTCTCAATCTCAATAATGTTATGCCCCCCAATAATTTTGAATGTGACACTTGCCAAATAAAGGGGTTTTTTATGCACATGATAAAGGGGTCTTTTTGGTCAATTTCTGCAAGTGGCTCTCTTATTATCTAACCTTTACCAATTTATAATCAAAGATAATATAATTTTCGATAAAGTAACATGAAAATTGATTAATTTAAAAAAGAGCAAATGACATATTACCACATGAGGTTTAGCGAAATCCTAAATTAATACCCTTGGTTACATTGATTTAAGATTCCCACTTTTAAAGTAATGTCGTTTTCTTTATTTATTCTAACTTTTTACTAAAGTGTGTCGGTGCTTTCTTAGACAAAAAATGAGCTTATGTTAGTAAAAAGATGCTCACGTTGACAACATCTTAGCCGACAGTTTTTAACTTTTTCTGGCCAATTCTAAAGTCTAAAATCACTTTCGAGACCATCGATGGACTCCTCACAACTTTCTCTATAAAACTCATACCGTCACTTATCGACCTAACTCACCGTTTTCAACCACTTTCAACAGCCACTAACGGTGTTAGTTTAAGATGAGAATCTATAATAAATGCAACCGATTTAAGGATGGAAATCTGAAATAAATGCAATAAGAGGTACCAATTTGAGATTTTGCTAAACCTTGGGTGGGAATATGTTGTTTACTCTTTAAAAAAAAAATAAAAAGAAAAAAGCTGTGCCGTAAGGTGTTTGTGATGGCTTTTCAAAATGGAAGGGATTTTTGTAACGAATTTCCAATAAAGCAAGGATGATTATGATGAACGGTTCAAATATAGTATAGGGGAGTGCATTGTCCTTGATCAACGGTTGGGAAATTTTCATCTATAATTTATTAACAATTTCTTAACCAAAACAATCTCATATATATTAAATTATTAATCAGATGCTCCCTCACCTACGATAATAAAATAAGATTAAATTTTTTTTTAAGCACACTTGCGTAACGTGGACAAACATCCAAACGCGAGACAAAACCCCAGAATCCGAATCCAAATACAAATTCGAACACGACCCGAACTCAAACAACAAAAGCCTTCATCATCGTCCTGTCTGTCTCATGTTATCCTTAAATCATTTACAGACTCAATCTCTTTCTTGTTCGTTGTTGTACACGCTCTTGATGGAAGTTCAATCTTCCATCACGAGCACACGATTTCAAAACCTAATTTTATTGCCTCAAGGAGACAGGCCCTAATTCCCCAAAATTGAAGACCCGGAAACCCGAATAAAGAGAGAAAAAGAAGGTGAAAAAGACGTTCAGGATGTTTTCGGGGTGGCGGTTTGCGAAAACGGCGGAGGAGATGGTGTCGAAGTGGGCGGTGAAGAGGGTTTGTAAATTCTTTTTGAAGAAGAAACTAGGACAATTTATTTTAGGCGATATTGATCTTGACCAGCTTGATGTTCAGCTCAGTGATGGCTCTATTCAGCTCAATGATCTTGCGCTTAATGTTGATTTTCTTAACCAGAAGGTGCGGTGTCTTAGTTCTGTTTAGTGTAATGTGTTTTTTTGTTTAGCGTAAGTGTATATGTGTAACGTCTTCGGGTAGCTTTTAAAAAAGCGTTGAATTTTGTAATGTTGATCATGGGATACGAATTTAATGGGAAACACTAGGTTTTGTTCTTAATTTTGCTTTAATTACTGCCTTGGAAGGTTGATTGCTGAAAATTTAAAATTATTTTCTTCTGCTTATATTAGTTTATTTTTATTTATTTATTTTTCTTCTTTATGTTTTCAGTTTGGTGCAGCGACGTCAGTAAGAATAAAAGAAGGGTCTATTGGCTCGTTGCTAGTTAAAATGCCGTGGAAGGATAAAGGTTGTCAAGTTGAGGTGGATGAACTTGAGATAGTTCTTGCTCCTTGTCAGGATAAGTATGAGTTTGGGGCTGGAGATGAAAGTTGTAGTACTAGTCAAGATGGTAGTCGTAGTATGCAATGGGATTCTGGGCAGTTTGGGCATGATATGGGGGAGAATGTTTCCAAACCTTCATGTGGCGATGTTCATGAAGGTGTTAAGATGATCGCCAACATGGTTAAGTGGTTTCTTACAAGCTTCCATGTTAGGATAAAGAAGTTGATTGTTGCATATGATCCGTGTTTAGAGAAGGATGAAAACAAGGTGGGGTCAAATGTGACTTTGGTTTTTCGAATATCAGAAATAGAATGTGGAACTTGTATTGCTGAAGATGCTAGCTTGAATGGTGATGCAAGTGCTGAGAACTTTCTTGGAATAAGTCGTCTAACAAACTTTGTGAAATTTCAAGGAGCAGTTCTTGAACTTCTTCGTATGGACGATGTTGGCCAACAAACAGGCTCTTCATGTACATCAGGAATGCCCTTTACTGATGTAGTTTCCAATCGCTCTCCATCAAATGTGAGAACTTCAATCATGACATGGAAAAGAGGTGGATTTTCAGGGAATATAAAATTGAGTATACCCTGGAAGAATGGTTCATTAGACATTCGCAAAGTGGATGTAGATGTCTGTGTTGATCCTATAGAATTAAAATTTCAGCCAAGCACAATTAAATGGTTCTTAGTTTCATGGGAAACCTATAAGAAGTTTGATAAGGATCGGAGGGTTCATATGATTCACAAGTCATCAGACTCAGTTTACTTTAATGCAAGTTCTCATTTCTATTCATCACCAAGCGTTTCTTCTCTTGTTGCCCCCGATAAAATGGTACCAATTCATGGTAGCTATTCTTCCAATTTATCTTCTTTGAATGGACAAGATTCTGTTACTGAAACTACTCTACCTGGCTCACATCTTATACTGGATTGGGTGCCTCATCCTGTCAACAAAAACCAGAAAGATGGTATTGGAGAAGTTGATTTAGGGGCAAGGTTGGTATTTCAGTCTGTGCTAGTAATATACTGAAGTGGATTTAAGAGGAAGTAACTTGTGATAGTCCTATAAGAGACATCTAGAGTCTGATTAGTTATTTCGTAATGTTGCAGATTTTATATCAGACAAAAGTATTACAGATTCTGCATCATTCCTTATCTTAACTAATTCTTTTTTCCAAATACGATTATTGATTTTTCCAAATACGATTTCCAATAATCCTAAGCACTACACTTTATAAATGAAAATCAAGCTTCCATAACCTTTTAGTTCTATAGCCATATTTGTCCATTATGCATTACTTGCTTACCATATAGTTTGGTCTCAATTAATGCTAATAATTCTTTTATGTTTGTGCTCTGGCTGTTTGCAGTGTGAACCAATTTTTTGAATGCTTTGATGGAATGAGAAATTCTCAATCCGCCCTAGGAAGCAGTGGGATGTGGAACTGGACTTGTTCTGTTTTCAGTGCTATAACTGCTGCATCAAATCTTGCTTCTGGGACTTTGCAGGTTCCTTCTGGTATGTATTTTTTCTATTTCCATGTATTAAAGGTCAGAGAGATGTGTACATGACATCCATTTTTTTTTCTTTAATTTGCATATGCATTTGCTGTGTGGTAATCTTGGTCAATTTTCTTTAAGATGTATGAAACTATAATGTATACCCTTATATTTATGTGCAGAACAACAGCATGTCCAAACCAATCTTAAAGCAGTTTTTGCTGGAGTTTATATTGTGTTCTCCTTTCATGATGAAGATGAGAAGCAGTCATATGATGGAAAAGGTGATCAAATAAATGTTGAGTCACATATTCATTGTCTGGGTGCCGAATGCAGAGATATTTCTCTTGTTGTGCAGGTGATAATTGTGCTTCTGGTTTTCTCTTCCATTTCATGTTTCATAGTCTCTCCCCTACACTTAGTGGGTCTTGCTATTTTCCTTCTATGCTAACATTACACTTCAATGAGTTAACAGGTTTGTCCTCAAGAAACAAGGGTTGATGGAACAGTGAAGAAAATAGATGTTGCCGACTACTTTCACAATGACACCGATGTGATGAACTTCCACTTAAGGGAGGGTGGCAAATATATTGACAGTCAAACTGTTTCAGTTCAGCATCTGCAAGACGAAGTTCTTGGTGCTCTACCTCCATTTGCCCCATCTGCAAAAGTTCATGATATGGATGAATCAATTGGGATAATTGATGCGGATGTTCCTTTTGGGAATAAAGATGATGTGGTCAAAATCTCTTTGCTTAGGACTTCAGGTATCACTCATTGCCAATGCACTATGAGTACAAACCCATCACATGCCAGTTTAGCGGGTTCAGCATTGTTTTCATTGAAACTGCCTCCTTTCATTTTCTGGGTGAACTTCCATTTGATAAATATGTTATGGGATCTTTATAACGAAGTTGTTAGTTCTCTTGAGATGACTGACAGAAAGAATGGGTCATGTGAGGTGGTTGATGAGAAGCATAGGTCTTCTCATGGGGATGTGAAAAAAGGCTCTTGTCCTCCTGTTACTACCATGTCTGCAACAGAAAGTTTTCACGGGGATATATCAATCCCTGATGCTAGGGTAATACTATGCTTTCCTTTTAATGGTGGTAAAGACATTGGAGGCTACTTTTCCTGGAATCAATTCATTGCTCTTGATTTTTCTTCACCATCAACTTTTAACAAGGGAGTGGTTCAACACCCTTGTGCAAATTTGGAAGGGACTTCTCAGAAAAGGTTTTCTTCAACAGCCATACGCTCTTTGAACTTGAATGTCGGTGATCTTGATATTTACATGGTTAGCTCTACCTTTAAAGACGATGTTGGAATCAACTCCTGCAGTACACAGGGGAAAAAAATGTTTGCACATAACATTTTATCGGTCAGCAACAGAACTGGTCGTCTTTCCGTCATTAGTATGCTTTGGCAAGATGGTCCTGTGACCGGTCCTTGGATCGCAAAGAGAGCCAAGTTCTTAGCTACTTTTGAGGAAGACAGGAGCAGAAATAAATTCAGGGGAAAAGGTTGTGAGTTTGCCACTGTAAATACTCTGAAAGATCTGGAAGATAGATATTCTCGAACTCGAGAAGAGATAGTTTTGAGCTCCGCCTTTTTCTTGCATGTTCGTGTATTTCCACTTGCCATCAATCTTGACAGTTCTCAATACCGTGGTTTACATGAACTCTTAAACCAGATAATTAGTGGACTATCATGTGTGGCCCATGACAAAATTGGTAGCAGTGGAGAATCTTCTGGGTGCCAAACATCAGTAATTGTGGAGTGTGATTCCGTAGAACTCTTAATTGAACCAGATATCAAGGAGAATATAAAAGGCTCTATGCAAAGTGAACTTCCTGGATCTTGGAATTCATTAAAACTGAGAATTCAGAAGTTCAGTTTGCTCTCAGTCTCTAACATTGGAGGCATTAAGGATGCCAGTTTTTTTTGGCTGGCCCACGGTGAAGGTTCATTGTGTGGTTCTGTGACTGGAGTGCCAAGTCAAGAGCTTCGTCTAATCTCGTGTAGCAATTCTTCAATGAAGCGTGGTGATGGAGGAGGTTCAAATGCACTATCTTCTAGATTAGCTGGTTCTGATATTATATACTTGTTGGAGCCAGAGACCTCCCACGGCTTTACATCTGTTACTGTCAGATGCAGCACGATTGTGGCAGTTGGTGGTCGCTTAGATTGGTTGGATGCAATAATTTCATTTTTTAGTTTGCCCTCTCTTGAAATTGAAGAAGCGGGTGACAATAGTTTGCAAAAGGGGGATTTAATTGTTCCTTCCAAAGCTTCTTTTGTTCTTAATCTGATTGATGTAGGTCTGAGTTATGAGCCCTACTTTATAAATTTGATGGTCCACAGTAATGCTCTTGATTCTGAGTTGGGTTCTACCAAATTAAATGAAGAAACAGACATCCAATATGTTGCTTGTTTGTTAGCTGCATCGTCATTAGTTCTTTCGAACACAACTGTGGCGAATTCCATGGACAATGACTACAGAATTAGAGTGCAAGATCTAGGTCTTCTTCTTTGTGCTGTGTTGGAGCCTAAGAAACTTGGTGGCACTTACAGTGCACAGCATCTTCATGAGATTGGTTATGTTAAAGTTGCTCAAGAAGCTCTCCTTGAAGCAGTTTTAAGAACTAACAGCCTGAACAGCCTTCTCTGGGAGTTGGAATGTTCAAAATCTCACGTTAACGTGGATACTTGCCATGACACCACCTCTGGTCTGATACAATTGGCTACTCAACTTCAACAACTTTTTGCCCCTGATATGGAGGAATCTCTTGTACATTTGCAAAATCGGTACAATAATGTGCAGCAGGCACAAGAGGGGAATGATTTCATCGATGACAATAGGATATTAAATAGTGATTGTGCCTCATCAACTTCTCAAATGAATATTTTAACTGCAGATGCAAATACTAAATCTGGGTCGGCAGGTTTGATGGATGAGATATCTGAAGATGCATTCCATTTAGATGGGAATCAGACCTGCCAATTTGATTGTACTGGGTCACAA